CCTGGCAGCAAACAGAATGGATATCCCGTAGCTTGTAAGTCACAAATTTGTATTTTTGTTCAGATTGGGTAAAGAGTCATTTAAATCTGCATTTGAACTGCTGAAATCAAGAACAAGTTAGCCCTGGACTTTGATGACTCTCATTGGTTGTAATTTGCTGGGTGTTCTCAGTGAAAGTTCTTTGGAGAGTTTCTTTGGAGCTGGTCATGGGAACCTGATGCACCTGGATGTATTCATGAAGGTCACAATAATGTGAATCGCAAATGAAAGATCAATGTAATGTACTGGCTTTTGAGTTGGAGGGCTTCAGCCCCATCTGTGGTGGGTTTCTGTATACCAGTTTTCCTGACCTCAAGTCCATCAGTGTCCTCATGCCACCTGGGTGGCAGAATGAGAACTTGTGGCACTGAGAAAACTCAGATGTTGCCTTAATAAATGATGCGGTGCCCAGCAAGTACCCTCTTCTAAGAGTGACCCTCTCTGGTACTACAGGCTTATCCTTTTGCCAGCTGCAAAAGCAGAGGATCTTGGTGAGTCGCTACATCAACAGCAGCAGCAGCTCCTACATCCCTCAGTGCCTGGATTCAGGGGCATTTGATGCGGTGCAGTGCGACACGGAGCTGCGTCAGTGCTGGTGTGTAGATCCAGAAGGAATGGAGATCTATGGTACCAGGCAGAGAGGAAAGCCAACACGGTGTAAGTAATAATCAGCAAAACAGGGGGGCTTGTAGAGTGGAAAGGTTTGGTGTGAATGAAAGGTGGTAGATCAGGAGCTTGGACACTGCAGCCTATGCTTCTCCTATGGAAGTATAGGTGCTTAACTGAGGAATTTAAGTCTCTGTTTCCTTTGTCTGTAAAGAGAATATGAGGCTCCTAGGTGTCCATATTCAATGCAATGAATCTAAACCCCTTCCAAACCATGGGATGGCCACTCAGCTGTCTGTGGGAAGTTAAAACACCAGTAAACATTACTTTTTTTCCCTGTCAGGTCCGGGGAACTGTGAGATCCGAGACCGTCGCATTCTTCATGGGTTTGGGGAGAAGAGCCCACCACAGTGCTCAGCAGATGGAGAGTTTCTGCCTGTCCAGTGCAAGTTTGTCAACACTACTGACATGATGGTTTTCGATCTCATTCATAGTTACAACAGGTAAGAATGTAGGCTTCTGAAAGAGGGAGGTAATCCTTCATACCTCATCAAGTCAGTGTCTTACTGCATTTTTTTTTTTCACATGAAGCTCTTCTTCTGTGACCTCATATGATGTTATTTTCTGTTAGTGAATGGACCAAATAAAAAACTTTTTCTTCTGAATTAAATTTTCTCATTTAGAGAAGCCTGATATTCCACCCCTGCAGTCTAATCGGTGTGTCCTCACACAACAGTGGATACCACATTGTGATCTGTATTTGGAAAAGTAGCCAAGGCTACCTTTCAGACAGACACACAACAGCAAATGGGATACATGTGGAAGGAAGAGAGGAATTCAAGTGTGTGTATGAGGTAGGAAAGATGATTCCATATGGGAGATGAAAACAGATAGACAGACGGACAACTGGCAACGTGCAAAGAGCAAGTTCCATGTGCCGGTGGGAAACTTGTCCATTTAGGCAGTGCCAGGGTTGCTCATACAGGTGAACCGGCAAGCAATGAACGGGCGTGCTGACATACGACTGCCTTTGGGTGGTTGGAGTGGGCCGGGGAAGGCCTCAAAACACTGGATCAAATGCTTGTCTGTGGGAGTAAGAAGCCATTGTCCTGTGGAGGAGCTGGGAATTAATGCTCAAGTGGAGAAATAAGGGATAGAATCATAGAATGTTTTGGGTTGGAAGGGACCCCTAGAGGTCATCTAGTCCAACCCCCCTGCAGTGAGCAGGGACACTGCTAACTAGATCAGGTTGCTCAGAGCCCGATCCAACTTGGCCTTGAATGTTTCCAGGGATGGGGCCTTCACCACCTCTCTGGGCAACCTGTTCCAGTGTTTCACCACCCTCATTGTAAAGAATTTCACACTGCAGGGAGAGGAATTTGTTTCAGTGCGGATGTTCAGACACTCCAGAGAAACCTTCTGGTCTCTTGCAAAGTGCTGTTATCTTGGCATCTCAGCCAACACATTTCTCCAGTGGAGGGCAGTGCAGTAAACGTAATGTCTTATTCTGACCTGGCTCTGTAGTAGCAAAGGCATTTTACTGTAAATGTCAGTTTTGCTGTTTTGAGGGTTTTCTTTTTTAATTTAAGCAAAACTGAAAGGCAGGCCCAAATGCACAGTGCAAATTTGTCAGAACTTCAGAAGAGGTTATTTTGGCAAAAGCAAAATAATCTGGCTGTTTTGTTTGTTGGCCCTTGGAGTGTGGAAATTCTAAAAAAGCAATTACAGAGGAGAAAGCAGTGCTTTAAATTAACATTTTTTTTTCTCCTGTTGGGAGATTTGTCTGCAAAGGTCTGTGAGATTGGGCTTTCTTGTGTCTGTGTCGTGTAATTAATCACAGCAGGATCATTTCATTCCCAGCTGTCTACCTTTCTAATTAAGGCATTGACTTAACTCATTACTATCATATCTGAGTATCTCAGGTCATTAATATACTGATTTTCACACTACTCCTGCCTGAAATGTCATTATCCTGTCCCATAAGCAGGAGGCCAGAATACGGAGCTGAAGGGATGAATTCCACAGCAAAGGACTATAGCAGAATAGGGATTTAAACCCATATTTTATGGAGCAACTTTCTTTGGTTCCACAGACTGATTTTTGAAACCTAAACATGTCAAACTAACTCCCTTCCTGGTTTTTTAACTTACACTTTTAGAAATACTCCAGAATAAATCAATATATTAAAAAAAAAAAAAAAAGGAGAAATTTAGAAGCTTAGAGATAAGACTTTCCCAAGAGGAAAACTTAAAACTTTTGGAAAGAAAGATGAGCCCAAATTTCCTGCCTTACTCTGGTGACTTGGCGGCTTTTACTTTATAGAGTCTGTACCTTTGCTTGGATGGGCAGCCATACAGAAGGCCCTGTAGCAGACTGGGGAGAAAGATCAAAAATCAAAAGTCGAGGAGGATCTTTTTACTTTCTTGCTATAATTTTCATCAGATTGAAGACCTTGTGTCAGTGTCTTTATCCTGGCACACCGGAGGTTCTGCCCTATTCTGTATTATTTCATTGGCAGTGGAAAAAAACCACAATTCTGTTTTCTCCCTCTGTAGTCAATGAGAAAGGCAGCTATGACTTGAGCTGCACATAGAAACATAGAAGAGGTTACTTGCAAACCTGCTTTTGAGGATCGGTAATGAGTTATCTTTGCTGGAAGCCAAGAGCAGAGATGCACAGTTGGAAGAAAAGGTCAACAACCTCACATTTATTTAATTCCCCATATTTTTGAGTGCAAACTTTCTTGTTGAAACACACGGATACGGTATAAATTTATTCATAACTTAAATGTAGTCAGCTTGCCTTCAGCTATTGTTTTGGACTGGGTCTGATAGATAAGGCACTCTGTATTATCACTTCTCATCTTGGGGGCTGTGAATAAAAAGAGTCTGAGAAAAGAAAAGAAGCGGCAGGAAATGAGTTTTCCAAGTAAGGTGAGATAAGTTCTGTCCTCTTGTTTGTGTGGGCCTAATTTATATCCGTTTGTACTTTATTTAGCTGTACTCTCAACTTGGAACAAAAATAACCAGAATGACAGGATATGAGTATGCATCTGCCCCATATAAAAGTAGTACAATTATGCATGTGACTTCTTCACGTTGAGGATGAAAGAAAGCACAATGCAGAATTTTTTCATTGCATCCTGTTTCATGCAGCTAGATGTTGAGGTGCTGAGGTGCTGAGCTCCAAGGACATGACCAGTGCAGAGGTCTGCCTTTGAGGATAGGGGCATTGCTGTCCTAGGATAAAAGGTCATTTTGCTGATAGGGCAGTGCCCAGTGCACGATAATTCAGGTGAGCAGAAAGCTCTTGGAAGGCCCCAAGCCATTTATATCCATGTGTACAAAGAAGGCCATAAAAAGATGGTATTTAGCTGTTTATATCATAAATTGCATTGCTTTAATGCTGACAGAAGTCCCTTTGTGCCCTGAAGTAAGACATTTTGATTGCTTTTAGCATGCCAGTGTCGGCAGCGGAGCAGGATTTGATGGTCCAAAGTGGAGGGAGTCAGTGGGCACTGCAGACTGCCCGTGCTCTGGAGCAGCCCCGATGCTGCTGGAGGGTGCCACTGCAATTAAGGCTGCTCATAGTCCCAATTTCACAGAGCTGCTGTAAAGTACTTTGGCACGTTAACCTTTTCCCCAGTTGCTCAGGGCCTAATCTGCCATTACTCTTACTGCTAAGTGTCCTTCCTTGGTAAAAACCTACTTTGTGTAACTTTCTGAATGCCTTGAGGAGAAAATTCCACTTCCCTGTTGTTAGATTTTTCCCAAATAAGCCGCATGCAGCTGGGACACTGGACCTTTATTGTGTTTCAGGGTGAGGGTGTGTGTCTATAAAATAATACATTCGTTTTGGAATTTGGCAAAGTTGTTCCACTGGTCATATTGCCTGAATCTAGAAAAACTTATCTTCTGTTTGCTTGGAGAAACCCTAGAGCGTCTGTCAGTTAAGATCACATTTATAATGTTTTTTCCAACTCTGACCCTATTAAGTTTCCTTCCTCAATCATTGCTTTGCTGGAATCTGGCTGTTGCCACTCCTAGAGTATTATACTGGTGTCTCTTTGATCTCCAGAAGTAAGAGTCAATCTTACTTGCAATATGTTAAAAACCCTTTCTCCTTAATCTGTTGAGCCATGCTCTCAAAATTAAAAAGGTTAGAGAGTTTTTTATCATCTTTTGTGCCTAATTCAGTGCAGAAAGTGTACGTAGCATGTAGGGAAGAGGAAGCAACCTGTATCTTTAGGCACTCTGCCATCCTGTGCAGATTTGTGGAAGGAGCTAATGAAGGGGTGCTGTAATAACATTAAGCCAACATCCATCTATTTTATGCTCTTTGACAGGCTTTCAAAGATGAGAATGGATTTGAAAATGAGTGTTAAATGCTGGGTACCTACCTAGGAAGAGTCAGAAACCTGTCTGAAGGGAGATCTTATTGTTGTGCTTGAAAAAAAATGGCATTTAGGACTTGTTAGCCTGCAGAAACGCTGATCATGCCAGAGCCTGGTTGCCACAAGGAGAGTGATGGGCTTTGTAATGACTTCGCGCTGTGCAGATCTTCTTGCTGTACAAATCTGGGAGGGAAACACAGATGATGCTTTGCTGTTGTCAGTGAGCATCCCTGGGCTCTTCACAGGAGGCTGCTTTTCCTTCCAGGCTCCCGGAGGCTTTCCAAACATTCAGCTCCTTGCGGGAGATGTTCCCGGAGGTCTCTGGGTACTGTTACTGCGTGGACAGCCTGGGGAGAGAGTTAGCAGACACTGGTAAGTACCCTCCAGCATCTGATCCTTTAACTTGAGCAGCTTTGAATTCCCGAGGGCCAAATAACAACTCTCAGTCTTCAGCTTCATTTGGGACTTCAGTTTCGCTCTTATGAGGAGTCAGACCACCGTAGCCACTGTAGTGCCCATGGGAAAGACTGGAGCTCACTGGTGAAATCCCACCCTTAAGAGCGGCGCTTCAGCCAGCAGCAAGTGGAGTTGCTAATCCTGTTCTTTCTGGTATGGTGGCATAGGATTTCTGAATGACCAACTTCTGCCCACACTAGAAAGCCGCATCGTTAAATCCAGTTACAAAATGCAGGGGAATATGAAGGGCCCGGACACTGAACTGTTTTCTTCTTGCTCAGGTGGAATCATGGAATGATTTGGGTTGGAAGGGACCTTTAAAGATTGTCCAGTTCAACCCCCCTGCTGTGGGTGAGGAGATCAGATGGTCCTTCCTTTTCTCTAGTAGCCTCAGGACATGTTTTAGCTTTTAGCCATGCTAATAGTTGATGGGACACTTTAGAAGAAAGAATGTTTTTTCCAAGGAGGAGGAGGAGGAGGCTGAGGACTTCCAGCTCCTCTTCCTTAGACACTGCGGTTTTAAAAATAAATAAATAAATAAGAGGAAAAATGCACAGAATGATAGCTTAAAATTTAGATGACAGATGAGAACTTCGACATTTAATTCCCGCAAGGGTGAGAAGTTCTCAAAAAATTTGTGCACTTAGCAAAACTACTGCATATCTTTTTTTTTTGGTATACAACCAAAATGATTTGGAATTGGTTTTTGTAACATCAGTTTCCAAAATTCCATCAATTGCTCTACTGCAGACTGAACCTAACAAAACCACAGCACCGTGCCGGTTACTGGATGTTCCTCCTGCTTGTTTTGGTAGATATCAAGACATAAAGCTAATGCCTGGGCACTCAGCAGGGGGTTATGTGGTGCTGCGTGTTAGGGTTAGGCAGTGTAAGTTCACATCTGGCTTGTTTAAAGGACTGGCTTTCTTTTTCCTGATAGGCTTCCAATTCTGTTACTCGGGTGTAAAGCAGGTGGCTTCAGTCTTAAAACCAGGCTCTGTGCTGAAAGTCTCTCTTCCCCAGGCTTGGAACTGCTGCTCGGTGAAGTTTATGATACAATTTTCTCTGCGCTGGAGCCTGCCCGCATGTTCACGGAGACCAGCATATATCGGATCCTGCAGAGGCGGTTTCTGGGGGTTCAGCTAGCTACCTCTGGCAAGTTCAGGTGTAAGTAGCACCCAGGTGATGCCCTGTAAATAAGGTGACAATTTTGGAGATTATATTTGACAGTTGCCGTTGGGGAGAGTTGTTCTAGGAGGCTCTTGCACTAAAAGCATGTCATATCACAGCTACAATCCAAGAATCAAGGTCCCTGGATTGCGGCTGATTTTTAATCTCTGGATTATACATTCTTACCAGCAGATTGTACCCATCCTCTGGTCTGTTTTTTCCCATGCACTTGAAGTTCTCATGAGTTGAAAGTCCATGAACTTTCCGTATCTCTTGTCTTGAGATTCTGGAGATGCATCTGATGATTTATTAAATTAAAAGCCTGAGAAAATGCTCCCTAATTTATGGCGGTACACTCAGAAATAGGAAGGATCTGACTGACATTGGCCACAACACACTCGATCCCCAGGAAGCTGCACAAGAGTTTGTAGTGCCTTAGCCAGCAAGGCTGAACCTCTGGATCTGCCCTTGGGTCCATTCCCTCCCTGGTGGGGGCAGGCAAATGGGGGGAGAGTTTCTCTGCCTCCGGGCAATGAACTCTGTGGGGCAGGAGGTCAGGTACCTCCTTCACTCTCCTACACCAGGGGCCAAGAGAATTGCTTTGGCTGGGGGGAGTTTGATCCCCCTGGTGTGATCCTTCATCCTCCCATCCGAATTCCTCTGACATTGCTGACCTTGCTAAGGAGTTGCATCACCAGAAATATTAAGCAGATAGGGATGTAAGTCTTGCGGCCCCATAGTCACACGGTTTTTCTATGTCTGGGACAAGCTGATCATTCTGGGGAGCCTGGAAAGCATCTTCCCCTTCCCACTGCACAGCGTTGTGCAATAAGCTCTGACTGCAGTAGGGATGTGGTGGCTGTCAGCAAAGATGAAGCTGTAACAGCCACAAGATGGAGATGTGAACACGTTCCTCAGCTGCTGGCGAGGACAGCTTTGGTGACTTACCCAGATCTCGCGCCTCCACCTGAAGCCACAGGTGTTAGGAAAGTTGTCAGACTTCCCTGGTGGACAGGTTGCTCTGACGTGATGCTCTTGCTGCCTCAACTTGGTAGCTGAACGTAGCTGGAAAGCTCTTGAAGGTGACAAATATTTAGGCTGTAGGATTGCAGGTTTATATAAACAGGCAAAATTTCTGTATCGAAGAGATCATAACTCAAAAAATTTGCTTTATGGAGTTTTGGCTTCTCTGTGGTTAAGGCCAGTGTGACAGGAATAGGGTCTTCAGATCCCTGGAGGGGGAAATAAAAGAAATTGGGTGGTCCCAGACAAAATCTCCAGTCAGGTGCAGATCCTTTTGCAGGAGCAGTGCCTTGTTTTCACCAGAAACATTGATGCTTATCTGCATCTTGGTCTTCCAAGCTGCACATCTATCTCTGTTGACCAGCTTTGCATTTGCGATAAGGGCCAGAGCTCGGCTGGCCTCCAGCATGGCTCCCAGCAGATGCTGCTACTCTGCCTACCCATGACTATGGCTGAAAAATGTGTTGAGGTTTTATTTTCTGTTTAGTTTTCAGAAATGATACCTACAGCAGAAAACCCTGAGCCAATTCTCCAGGGGAGAAGAGGATGGAGAACCTGCATTTTGGGATGGTACTTGAAGTTTCATTGAAAACAGCCAGGAAATTAAACTAAATATTTTTTCTTTTCCCCCCAAATAGGAAAATGATGGGATCAAGCAGAGATGGCTCTGAAACCTTGAGCTTTCCCTCCCTAATGCATACTTTTTTTTCCTCCAGGCCCCTCCAAGTGTGAGGTTGAGAGGTACGCAGCCCTGCGCTACCAGCACGCCTACGTGCCATCTTGTGGTACCGATGGGGGCTACACGCCACTGCAGTGTCAGCAGGGAGGCCAGTGCTGGTGTGTAGACACCAAAGGGCAAGAGGTCCAGGGCACAAAGAGACGAGGACAGCCACCAGCCTGTGGTACGTATGAGGTCTGGAAAAGGAAAAAAGAGTACACCTCTTGTGTTCATTACTTGCTGCAGTTTGTGTGCGTCATTTTGATTTTTCTTGGAATAATTTGATGGTAATTGTCCAAGTGTAGTGCAAATGCCAGCCGTTGTCCTTCAGTGCTTCCCCCAGCTGATGTCTGTGAGAAGCCAACTGTGGTCTGTGGGAGATGTAGGAAGAGAAAAGGAATCAACAAGCACCGTCTCCTTGTAGATCCATGTACACTTCAAATTCAGGCTGAGCCCCTTCACCTTCCCTCTCCAAACACTTCATCCACTGTGGGAATTTAATCTTTAGAAAGAAACTTGGAGGACCAGTTCCCTCCTCAGCTCTGACAGATTCTGGTGTTCAAAAACTGGGATCCAAAAACCTTCCTTGGGTTAAAAGCCACATTCTAATAAATTATTAAATATTTTATTAATTATATTTTCCGTTATGACCTTGGTTTAGCCTTTTAGTTTTGCATACAGCAAGGCTTTTCTTTGCAGCCATGATATCTGTCTCTTGACTCCGGGGGCTGCGACATTAGGTCAGAATAGCTGGGATTATATAAGGAAGCCAGTGATGGTGGTTTTGGGTTTTACCTCCTTCCTTTGGTGAAAAGTTATGGAATTTCTAAGGCTTCTCTCATCCTGAGCATTTTTTTCCCATTCCTATCACTGCATATTTGGCCATGAAAATTGCCAAATCCAGTAAAAAAAAAAAAAAGGGCCAGACAATTTGGAAACGGTGTATGGGTTTGGGCTTTGAGAGATTTCATTAAGAATACGCCATCAAATCAGTGCTCCAAATGGAAATGACAGCAGAAATGTCAAAGGGCCGGAGGGGAGGAGGAAAGTTAAGAACCTTCACTCCGAAGCGCACTACCTAAATATTCAGGATTGTGCTGGAGGGCTGGGGGAGCACAAGGTCTTAACGCGGGGGCCGCCTTCGGGGAAGGTAATTGCTCTGTCTGCAAGACACAGTCTTACCACGCAGATAGAGGAGGAGGAGGGGGAGGAACCCACCCTGGGCGTCACGGCTCCGAGCTGCTTGGAGTGCGCTGGGCACAGACAGGCTTACTGCGAAATGAAAATGTTAGCATGCCTCCGAGGCCGATCACCAAGGATATTGCAAGGGGACCTCTGAGAGGCCTCCCCATATGTTGGGACCGGTTGTTTTCTTTTTGAATGTGCTTTTCTGAGCCCTCCTGATGATTTTTTTTTTTTTGGGGGGGGGGAGGCTGGCGGAGACGGACAACAACTTGGGGCTGCTTGCAGCTTTTATGGGCGGACTCAGGAAATTTAAGCGGGGAAAAATTTCTGCAGAGATTTTGCAGCATAACTCCTGAGAAGGTATTTCATGAGGATATAGCTGCAGTCTGTGTTCAGACAGCTACATGCCATGTGTGTGTCTCCAGTTCGGCTCTGTTTTATTTCTCTTCGGTATTTTCGAGTCTCACGCTCAGCAGTGTGAAGGCTGGAGGAGGCAGAGGCGTAGGTGTGGGTAGCACGTCGGGTACTCGCATGACCTGAGGCACCAAGCAGCCCTGATAGAGACGTGCTCCTTTTCAGGCCTTTACAGTAAATTCACCCCAGCAGTGCTTTTCTGTTTATTCCTTCTCACTCTGCTTTGATTTGATTCAATGGTGGGTAGGAGGGGAGAGCGTTTAAAGGCCGTGATCCTACATTTGTTTCATATTAGCATACTTGTGGGATTGTGATTTACGCTAATTTATTGGTCCCCAGAGGAATGTTCTTCATCCCCCTTACCAAGAGCCAACACTGAAAACAGAAGGGGCCCATCCTACAGAAAATGCCCGTACAAAGGAACCACTGTCAGGGACACTGAGCCCCTGCCAGGACCCGCGGAGCAGGACAAGGGTGCGAAATGAGGAGTGACAAAGATGCTGATCACAGAGCCTCAGCTTACTTGCTAATCTATTTTAGCAGCTTTTAAGATTTCCAGCATTTATCCTACCGTTAATGGGATTTATGACTGCTTTATCATATTGCCTGAATGTGGAATAAATGGGGTTGGGACGGGGAGCCCAAGGGAGGCCGTGCTAGAGCAGACCAAAGCTGTTTATCCACCATCCTGTCCCCTGCAGGGACAGCAGTGCTGCTTAGGGAGAAAGCATAAGAAACATGGGAAATACATATAGCTTCCATATATCCTCCCTGTTGCCTGCAGGCTGGGGAGTTCCCAGGCTGGAGGCTGAACCCAGATCATTGTGTTCAGCACTCCTCTATGGAGCCATCTTCCAGGGATTTGCCTAATTGCTCTTTAACCTTTTATCCTTCCTAGCATCCTCTGGCAATAAAATTCATGATCACAATTATGTGCTCTACTTCTGGACCATTCTAATTCCTGTCATGTAAGAAATACTGAATAATAATTGTCTATTGCGAATGATGTGGAGAATCCTGTTTTTTAAAAACCTTTATTGTATTTTTTTTGTCCAAGCTGAATAGTCTCTCCTACTAGAAAAACTCTTCTGTCCTCAAAATATTTTTGCATCCCTTCTCTATAATCCTGCTACTTTTGCATCCCTTCTCTATAATTCTGCTGCTTTTCAAGGAAAGGTAACCACATGGCACGTGATTCAAGCTGCTGCGTGCATTCCAGAGGTCCAGTCAATGCCATAACCATCCTATCTGTCTGGTTCTCAGTGTCTTTATATCTACTAAATCTTTCCTTTTTTTGATGTCTTCTGTGCCTTAAGCTGATGTTTTCAGAGGTCTTTCTTCAGTGATGCGTTGCATCCTAACTTGGAGATATTTCTGTCTGTGTATGAACCTACAGTCTGAGTGGATGAAGACACACCTATGGCGTAGCTTGGTCCAGGGTGTGGGTGGCCAGGGCCACTGTTGGTACCCTCAGTACTCTGACATTTGACTATTTTTGTTGAAATTTTGTATTTTTTCTCCTTTAGAGCTCATTTGTGAATGCCATCCGGTCCTTAGCCCTCCATTACTGCTAATTTTAACAATTTTTTTCAAACCTCTTGTAATGAGTGCTTCATTGTGAAACTGAAGATTTAGGTAGGAAGCCTCCATAAAATCCTTATTAGTGGGCATTGGTTAAAATAACTTTCTGGTTTTCTGCAGTGTGTTTCTCTTTCTGAGGTTCACATATTGCACCTGGATCATCAGAGGTTTTCATTAGAAGCAGGCATCCTACCAGAGAGTTAATATATTTGGAAAGGACTTTATTTGTTCTTTCAGCCATAGGAACAGGAATGAGGATTTACGCTGGGAAGCAGTAGAATCAGAAAAAGGCTGCAGACCAGATAACTCAGACGTGGTGAAGGAATGTTTCCTTTCACTTTGTGTCTTGAATGAAGAGTTTTATTTATAGACCATATTCAACAACAGTTCAAATTTCCTTACCAATGCATGTGATGCATAGCTGAAAAACTAGACACAGGTTAAACTACACTTTTATGTGTTTTCTGCTGAGACCGCTTGAAAGATAACTGTAGGGTTACAGGTTTTGGAAGTTCCAAAAAAATTTGCTTTTTTCTTTTTTTTTTTTTAACCTTTGTCTAGGTGAAGAACAAGTGTGCATCTCTGAGAGACGACGGGCCTTGTCAAGGATCTTTTATGGCCCTGCTGGGTACATCGGTCAGCCCAATTTGTTTTCCATGCCAGATATGCAGTTGGAAAAAATAGCTGGCTTCTCAAGACCCTGCCCTCCCTTCTTCAAGGAGCTGTTTCTGGACTCCGGATTGTCATCTGCAGTTGCACAAAGCCAGATTCCTGGGCTAGAAACCACCCTTAGTGAAGCCATCACGGGGATGTTCCCATCAAGGGAACTGGCCCAAGTGGCCCTGCAGTTTACTGCCAATCCAAAGCGTTTCCAAGAAAACCTCTTTGGAGGAAAGTTCTTGAAGAATTTGATCCAGTTTAACTTCACGGGGGCACTTGGCACTAGTGGGAAATACAGAATTGGCCAATTTTTTTCACAGGAGGATGTGGCAGAGAGAGATAACGAACAAGACCTTCTGGAATCAGCTGAGGCATTTTCATTGGAGGTATCAAAGGGGAGCTCCATATTGAGTAAACCTCTTGTAGGCAGCTTTGGCCGCACAGTAACTCTACAGGACAATCAGAATATGATGAAATTCCTTTCCTCTGTTCTGGAACTACCAGAGTTCTTTACTTTTCTTCAGCAAGTGATTTCTGTCCCCAAAAGCATTGCTGAAGATTTAGGTGAAGTGGTAAAACTAGCACTGGGATCCAAAGACTGTGGTGAGGAGCCAAAGGACCTGTTTGTTCCAACATGCACCAAGGAGGGGAGGTATGAGGAAGTTCAGTGCTATGCAGGAGAGTGCTGGTGTTCGGACACTTCAGGTAAGGAAGTTCCAGACTCAAGAGTTCAAGGCAAACGTCCAAGGTGTCCCACTGATTGCGAGAAGCAAAGGAGAAACCTGCAAAACTTGAAGAAAAGCCTGCCTGCAGGATCAGACCTTTTTATTCCCTCTTGTACCGAGGATGGAGACTTTCTGCCACTCCAGTGTTATGGGACGAATTGCTTCTGTGTTGATTTGAATGGCAAGACTATTCCAGGAATAAGGGGAGAAGCTGGAAAGCCGATGCAGTGTAAGTCCTAGGGACTGGAAATTTAAAGATGCTTCCATATTGTGTTGGAATTTCATGATTCTTTCTTCATATCTGATTATATCTGGAAATGTATGGATGATGTATACAAACAGTATTTTCCCCTAATAAGAAAGCGAGTCAGCCCTGCAGTTGCAGGGGAGTAATGGGAAACACAGTGTACATAAACCTTGATATCCCAAGCCTTAAAGACATCCCCTCTTCTTTCAGTGGGTTAGGGGAGGCACAGGCAGAACAGAGGAGCCCGAGGTCTTGCCTTGTTAATGAGCATGTCATTGGCATCTCTCTCTACTTAAGTGTGTCGCTCATGTGTATAACATCCATGATGCCCATGAGACCTGGAGCATCTGTGTAACTGGAAGTGACCCATACCAAGTGAAAAAACCTTTTTACTTCCAGGACCAAGTCACCCGGGCACAGTCACTGGCTTATCCTTGTCCTTAAAGAACTACAGTGCTTTAAACCATGAACCTCTTTTAGTCCTTTAGCTCAAGAATATATCCTTAACTTGGTAAGATGTCACAGGAGTCCAAATGCAGGAGAGGGATTCAAAGGCTAATAGGTTTCTCATAAAGGTCATGCGGTCAGGGCAGAACTGTGAGTCGCAAATGACTTGTCAGACATCAGCTTGGCTTTGCTTCTAGACTATGAACTGCCTCTTCTGCCCCGACTTGTCAGACATCAGCTTGGCCTTGCAATTTGCTTCTAGACTATGAACTGCCTCTTCTGCCCGTCTAGTAATGTAATGGAAAGGAAAAAGGAAGCACATAGGCTAGTGATATTTGTCTTTCAAGTTTCTGTGAACTGAAAATGGCACATCAACAGGGAGAACAGACCGAGAGAAGAACCCGCTTCTCGTTTTGGAAATAATAGCGGAGTATCCAGCAGATGACAGTGGTACATAGTGAAGAAGCTCCTTTGAATAGCAGTTTGAAGAAGTAGTGGGGAATTTATCGCAATGATCTGAATTGGTAGGGGATTTATATCTAGCAACCCATCTGTAGTGCAAGCAAAATAAATAGGTTCATAATTCTCTGGTGCTCAAAAGATGAGCTCCTATATTTTGCTAAGTTTGTAGAGCTGCTTGGTGGCAAAATGCAATTTGACTCTGGAGGTGGCAGAAAAGGTTTCCAGAACAAACTCCACCATTTTGAAGGATGATATTTTTAAATTCAGCTGCAATATTCAGTAGAGAATAAGAAGAGAGGACAACAGAATCTGAAGAATCTGGTTAAGTCCGAGGGGAAATAAAATCAGTATTATCCTACTATTCAGATGGTTGCTTTGGCAGGGATTGCCTGAATAAGCATTAACTTCCAGATCATCAAGTGAATCTGAAAACACCTAGTTGCTGTGAAGGCGTT